TTGACTACAGTTGTATATATGCATATAATATACAACACAACCTGGAGCAAAAAAGCTAAAAACTTAATTGTTTGCCAATGCCCGAGAGCCGGGAAGTATAGGGGCCTTAATAATCAGAATAGGGCTTTGGGGCCCAGTCTACTATAAATAGAATAAGGAACCCCCACAATAATATAGGCAGTTATTTAGGCCCCTATAGATTAGGTCTACCTGAAGCCTGCAAATGCTACATGTCTAGGTTCCTTTCCACAGTTTAGCTATGAAATTCCTTGAAAAGTTTTTGAGGTGGGGTTGAGAGCCTTAGAGTCTTGACGGAGTAAGCTTGACGATCACAGTATCGCCTGGTATACCTTCACTCCGTATCCGGCAGTGTGCACCAGGAGCCTAGCCCCAGTGGCACAGTGCCAAAAGTCCGCAGAGCCAGGATACTCCGCCCTGACATTGAACTCAGCACTAGTATGTGCTGTCGTGCAGCCACAGACCCCAAGATCACCAAGGGCTGCAGTTGAGCATGCTCTTGTTCAGTCAGTAAATGTCCGGCCCAGGCCTGAGGACTGCAAGAGCAACCCACAAGCGCCGAAAACTAAACCCTGATCGGAAAAGGCCTTAATGATTGGAATAGGGTTTGTGGTATATTATACAATAGTTATATTAAGGAACCCCCCAAAACCCTATTCTAATTATTAATGCCCCTACATTAGAAGGTTGAGAGCTGCTTACTGGGCTAAGTCCAAGGGTGTTCTGGTAATATCTCGGGGCCATGATCTCGGGGTGAAGTGCCAAGCGTGAACCGCGCGTAGAAGTCTTGTGGTGTACATAGACAGCCAGGCGGCTACCGCTACCCCCTGGAATACGAGGCTGCCACGAACTTCGCCGATTGCAACCTGCTTTGAGCTAAAACTCCACCGGCTTATCACTTTGTTGCGAAGACGGCTGCAGAACCATTCGTATCAACTCCCGAAGGACGCCACAGCAACAGCAATATACAACAAGGCAAGCCGAAGCCGCTCGAATCACACAGAGGGCCTTACAGTGCGGCTCTAGGGTTTCAAGGTGTCGCTTGCAAGTGTGGGGACCTGAGTCCTGAGGGTATCGAAATAGAAATATCTTAGATAGCCTATGGGAGAACTTTAAACTTGTTGGCTTTATATATTAGGTCTATCCTAAAAAGTTTGAACTTTTTTGGGCCTGGTCGTTGAAGAGGAGAGATATTTGTTTTTATGAAACCCCATCTGAACCCTAAACCCTAAACCCCTGAACCGCAAACCCCAAACCCTAAAACCCCTAAGCCCTAAACCCGATAAACCTTAAGTGCTGAGGGCTCGAAGCTTCGGCTGCAGGGTGTAGTCAGATCCCGCTTTCTTGAGTAGTCTCCTGTTCCTCTTTAATTCTCTACTCGGTGTTTGGGGTACTCGGTGTTTGGGGTATTGTACGTGAAACCTAACCCTAAACCGCAAAATGCAACAACCCTAAACCTCAAACCCGAAAGCACTAGCCTACAAGTTTGTATGTCATGGGGGTCACAGGAGCACCCCGGGTCACAGAAACCAGAGCTTGTGTTTCCGGCTTAGGATCAAATCTGCTTCTTTTCGGTGTGAAGGCTAGCCGCCCAATAGAGGGGCCTTATTGATTTCAGTAGGGTTTTGGGGCCATTTATACTAAAATTATAATAAGGAACCTCCAAAATAGTATTGGTAATTATATTTAGGCCCCTACATTACCCCGATTTAGGGTTTTGGGTTGTAGTCAAGTGTTCGTCCTGGCGGAGTCGCAGCAGGCGATTTGCAAGGGTCGTGCGTATGGGGCTTAGGGGTCCTCCCTAACTTCCCCAGATACGAGCAGCTAGCAGTACCTTAGAGTGCTTAGAGACTTAATTTGAGGTGTCTTTGCGATAAGGATGCTACTCTTTGGGTTCAAGCTTCGAGTCCCATAATTTCTACTCCCATATGACTGCTTCCCAGAGCCCTTCGGTGGCAGCTGGTAGAGGAAAGCATGTACATGAATTGGGACCGCGACCCAGATTTTGAAAGCCTTCTTCTTCCAAGGAGGATCCCTCCAGAAGAGTTTGGCTGTGTAAGGAATGCCTCAATAGGGTTTAGGGTTTCGAGTTTAGGGTTTAGGTGACTCACCCTACACCGACTAGAGTTTTGGGCTTTGAGTGTAGGGCTTCTGAGCCTTTTGCCTTGGAATTCTGGAATCCAAGGCATGGAGAAAGAAGACGGTCGCAACCGTTGGCACGCATCTTAGCAGATGAGTGAGTAAAGCTCTTTCCCCCTTTGGGATAATTATCCCCTATAGAATACTCTAGAACTGAAAATGTGCACCTTTTTCAGCCTTACGAACTCAACAACTAAGGCATCGGTGCGCGCTTGCATCTGCAAGCACATGAGACTGGAAGATGCAGAGCGGACCGGATACGGCCCCCTCTGCGTGCCGAGCTAAACCCTTAAGACTGTACAACCCGACGATGGACCATGAAGCCAGACCCAAAATTGACAGACATAGCAACCAGAATAGACATAGATAAGTGGTTATCATGCCTTTCATAATCCCAGTCGTGGCCGAAGATGGATGAGAAGAGCAACTATAACATTAGTTGCTGCAGCATTCGTGAAGAAGAACAGGTCTGGTCCTTCCACCCTCCCGCCAACAGTAGATGTACTCATCGCCCTGACCCAATACGAGAGTAGTAGCAACAAGCAAGGTCTGAATGTTGCCAGAGGACCACGAACAAGGAAACACAATCATCATTGCAGTAGTTACTACCATGTGAGCCTGAAAACAACCTTGTCAAATTCCAAACAGGCACCAACAGAAAAACCAACTTATCGAGACCTTTACCGAACCCCTGTAGAAACTTTGTAAAGCCAGACAGGCTGCTTTGCAATAATCCGACAATCGCATGGTCGCACCAGCTCCGCATCGCGCTGGCGAAGCGCTGACCGGAGGGCTTTGAAGGGTCCGAAACGGGCTCTGCACGAAGAAAGGGGTGCAAAGGGGAGCCCCAGCTGAGGCCAGAGCTCCGGGTGCAAAAGCGCATCGCATAAAAGGGCTGATGGCAACTCAGAGTTGGTTTTCGAAGCTCGAGGTTAAGATGACCACTCAACATTTACATAATCTAGAAGAAGAGACCGCTTGTTGTCCTCAGCTGTTAAATCAGCGTGGAGGACCTAAGAACATGCTGTAGGCCCTGGGGGGAATAGCGAAGATGCGAGCTATGGCCAAGCAATTGTTGAGAGGATGTCCACTGTAGCAGGATTTGCAATTTGCAGCAGCATGATGGGTTGCAAGAGCCGTAGCAAGAGTAGTCTAGTAAGTTACGCTTGCACTTGGTGCGGTCGTGTCTACACAAGGCCATCACCACTAGTGAGTACACTGGTAACTACGACTGCTTCTACCTACTGCGACAACGACTACTATTACTGCGACGACGTCCCCTTCCGCTGCTTCCTGCTACTGTTGCTTGTCTACTGCGAAACAACAACGATAAACAGTAGGGCTTTGAATCTTGTGTCCATCGTGTAATTAGTAGTTAGAGAAGCTAGAATTAGAACTGCGCAGCTTTTTTGTATGTGGCTTCGAGTGTCGGCCACAGTAAGCCTCAAACTGTACAACTGAACCCTACTCGAAACGCTCAGCTCGGCACTGCGCGAAGAGTCTTGAGGGTTAGGATTTTGGAGTTCCGTGTTACGGCTTTTAAGGTGTATAGGGTTTGGGGTTTAGGGTCAGCAGCACTAGACACAATAAGCGTACTTCTGAACATGAGCGTAGCAGCAATGTCAGCATTGTGAGCGACGCCTAAGACGGTCCTTCTTTTACAGTCATACCCTAATCC